ATATGGTTTCCGAGGAGCGGCTGGTGGATTCGAACTGCCAATCATTTGGTTAGCAGCCATAGCTCACCACAGTTCTTAACCACTGTGCCACCAGGGCTCCCTCCACTAGACGACAAGTCTCTAAAAGATAGAGGCCATGTGTTGTCACCTTTGTCACCCCAGCACCTAGCACAGTGCCAGCATGAAGTTTGTGTTCAAACGATGTCTTCTGGAGGAATAAGATCGCCAACTCCTTTCGTTTCAATTCCATGCCCACCAACCTAGGTTCTGATCATAATTTGGCTTTTCATATAGATTTTCCACAGAAGAAAAGTAAGTTAGCTGGCAGCATGGTGAACTGACTGCTTTGCTTCTCATGGTAAATTAATAAGTGTGTCACTCTCTGAGATCTGGTTGGCACAAGCAAGCACCCTGAGCCAGGTCACCTCTGGGTCTGGAGAGCTGGAGTGCGGAGACTCCGGAGGTCCGGCCGGAGAGTGTCCCTAACTGCCTCCAACTTCAGTACATACCACTGACGTATAAAAACTGCAACAGCGTAAGTTCTGCTGAAGAATCAGAATGTTCTACATAAAGAAAATGACTTATACCTCAACTAATTCAAAGAGTAGTTTTTTCCAGAAAGAAAGCAAAAAGACCATGGAACAGAAAAAGCTGAGGTCACAAACTCTAGACCCTTACTGGGCCAAATGCCCATTTCATATTCGCATAAGCTCTCAAGACCCAGAATTTCAGGACCCAGATTTCCTGGACCAAAACGGGATAGGGTGATACAAAGATGGGAGCAGACGAAGGCGGCTGCAGGGATAACAGAAAGGGCCCATGGGAGCCTGCAGTGGGTGAGGACCTGGGGCCCAGCATGCAGGACCCTCAGCCCCAGCCGGCTCACTGCGGCATTCACAGGACAGGGGTCAGAGCAGCAAATGAAGAAGGGTCATTTATATTTCAGCTGGCATTCTCTCAGTTGCCTTAAGGAAATTTCTGTCGACCAACGTCACCAGAAGGTTATTAAGCATCTGCTAAACTGCCCAGCAGCGTGCCAGATGCTAAGGAAGATCATAAAATCAAGTCACTTCCTCAAGAAGCTCGTTACAACCTCGCTGAGATGCTGGTAATGTACGGAAAACAAATAACTTCCCAGCTCCAGCCCGCTAGTCCCGGGGCTATGCTAACATTGCCTGAAGAGTTTGAAAACATGCAAATTTTTCTTTTAATTAACAGAAGTCAATGTTTGGCTAAGTCTGTAGAAAAATATGAATTTATAAGCCAATTAAAAAGTGATGATCACTACCTGACAGAAAGCTAGAAGGAAAAAACTATGAAGAATCACTAATTAAAAAGCCACTGGAAAGAAAAGTTAAACAAAAAAATCCCTGAGGCAATAAAGCAACAGTGAAGTATCACTTGACTTGTAAAATGTAACCTGCCTGCTTCTTGGGGACTATTTATTACACAATAGCAGATAAACCTACATTGCTGATGATGAGTGAATTTACAAAAGAGGTGTTTTTCTTTTTTTGTTTAATTTTGGGTAGACTTTTAGAATCTTTAAGAGACTCTACTGTCAGATGCTATCACCATCTTCACACTTCACCAGAGCTTCACAAGAACCTGTCCTAAGGGGATATTAATAGTCTACTTGTAACTGGGGGGTGTTTGCCTCAAAGAGGTCCTAATCCTCCCAAAGAAAAGCAAGGAAGTGCTAATGACCAAATAAAACTTTTTTTAAAAAGTGCCTCAGACTCAAAGGAAAGAGGCCTTCTCTCAAAATGTCAACAAACTGTCGTGAAAACCTATTTTGTAACATTTTAACGTAGGGGTGCCAATTTCGCTTTTAAAACTGAAAGAAAATTCCACTTGGAATTTGGAGATGAATAAAAGGTAAACAATGAATATGATAAAATAGTTGGGAAATAGGCCTGAGGAAGAAACAATTTTTTTAAAAAAATAGGTTTGATTGTGCCAAAAAAGACTAGCAAAGCACCTGTTAATCTTCAAATAGAAAATGTTGATGACTTACCAATGTATGAGAAAAGCCACGAGTTGGAAACTTAGCTTTATTTAAACTAGCTTCCTCAGTGTATCACAATATCTGATTTTATATCCATCTGATCAGAGCTCTTTGTATTTTGAAACGCTGATAATAAACATTTCCCCCATTAAGAACTAGCTGCCTCCTGACAATCCAAAAACACCTTTCTAACCTGTCCATCCATTTTCATATGATGTAATAACTGAGACAGGGAATTCTATTTATGTGAATTGGTCACCACCACAAAATCAAAAGCTAAGATCCACATATCTTAGACCTTCAGCATCTAAAAGAACAGCTAGTATACGTGGAAGTATTATCAAATTTCTAAAAATAATAGTCACATATCATCTCTTAGTGTTTATTGTGTGTGCTGGCTAAATGTTTCCCATGGACTGTCTCACTTAACTTCACAACCACCCTTTGAAGCAGGCTGTGCTACCCGCACTGTGTAAGACGAGGACCAGGTTACTCACCCACACTCATACGTGTCCAACACCAAGGCCTTGGCTCTTAAAATTAATTACCTCGTTCCAAAGAGCATCCACCACGTACAAGAGCTGGAAACTGTTAACCAAAACCATTGCTAAGGACGGAGCAGCACGATTCTGGAATTTCATCTCAGCCAAAAGCATCACCAAGTTAATAAGCACCTGAAAATAA